AAATACGCCATGCTGAAGCTAAAGGTTCTACTGTCGACAATATTGAGGAATTATCGCATCATTTCCGACGAACATTACAAAGATTTCAAGCTGCGAGCTGACATCATCCTGAAAAAGAACGACGGATGTATGATCAGTATCGAGCCGTGCAAGAAGTCGACGGCGTCTCGCGAATCAAACTCGACCTCGATTTCTGTAAAAGCATAAATCGTCGCGATAAAAAGAAATAAACTGGATAAACATGTCTTAAAATAATTATAATAAAAAGTATGTGACAACCGCTACCCGACAAAACCTTTGATTCAATAAAATCAGTGAACTTCTCTTAAACCTAAATACACATTAGTAGCGGATGTCACATTAGTGTATTTAGGTTTAAGAGAAATTCACTGATTTTATTGGATCAAAGGTTTTGTCGGGTTAAGACACATGTTTATTCAGTTTATTTTCTTTTATCGCGACTGATCAACAATTGTGCACACATAACTTGTTTGCGAGACGAACTTTTCAAGAATTCTCGACGTAAAGATGCGTTGTAATTAGCGACGTTGCGACGAAGACAACCAGCAAAGAATAAGTATTAGAAAAATGCTGCCACGTTTCAAAAATCATATCCATTGCTGTTGTAGAAATTAGTGCACTATGTAACAACAAAACATTCTAGTCTTCGGTTTCACTGTAAAATATACAGTAAATAAAAATTATAAAATTATACAAAATTTACGTACGTAATAGTATGTGTGTTATTAGAAATCATATTTGTTACACACGAGAAATTTTCTGTTACGTCGCGACGAGAGTTCTTTTAGACTGCCAAACAGAGAATGCAGTACAATACTTTCCAAAATCAATTTCATATATTTAAATAAAAGGAAATGATTTTGTTTGTATGTAAATTCGCATGGTAGTTTATACATTAATGTTTATGTACAATCGCTAATTAAGGCAACGTGGTAAATTTTGAAACGCTTAGTTACGTTACAATAAAAACAACGATTTAAAATTAAAATAGCGTGAAACTGTGAAACGACTAAACCTTGTGTGTAAGCGGACCGATAATATAATTACTGACGTATCTGATTGTCATTGTCGATTTTTTGTGGATGACACAGTACAATTTTATTCAATATTATTCGAGAAGTGGATTTTTTCACTTTGGAAATAGACGTAAATAAACCGCATCTATAATCTACTAAATTTCACCTTTTTAGTATTGCGCACGAATATGCGCATACTTTTGAATACATACCGCATTTCCGTATACATATGTTATGTCATGTAGTAATTGTGAAGAACGTTCTGGTTACATGATTGTTAAATCGTCGCGATTGAACAAAGTGCCAGATCTTGAAAAAAACTCATTAATGAAAAATACTTTTTTTTTTGTTAAACTTTGATTTAATGTAACTGTAATGTATATCAAGAGGCACGGTAGTGCCTCGCGCCAAGTTTCACGCGACGAAGTTCGCTGTGCGAGCACACCGTGCCTATTATACGCGAGATTCATGCAAAATAGAAGTGGGGAGATTTTCTTAAGGCAATATCTATATATATATATATAGATATATAATAATAATTCAAGAAGCACCAAATAAACTTTTGGTCGTTATTATATAAAAAACTTTTAAAAACTAAAAAATAATAATATTAATTTAACAATTAATAGAATATAAAATTAATTTACTTGGATTATATTTACTACTTAAATTAAAAATCTTATTTCTAAAACAAAACTTGCCTTACAAAAGAAGTGATAACAAAATCAAAAAGTAACACCAAGTAAACTTTTGTACGTTATTTATTGAAAAAACAATATATATTATATACTACAACAAATTTTTAAAAACTAAAATTTATATAATACAAAACATTTTGAAAAACTAAAAATATTTAATGCTAAAAAACTTAACGCGGCTGCACCTCAAATAGTGAACTGAAATGTGTACATCAAACATGCGTAAGTCTGACATAATAAGTACTCAATACTGTTTTCTTTAAATAAACATAAAAGTTTCTTTTTCAAAGCATTCCTTTTATACATAGTATTTATTAGTTTTCTATAAAAATAATAAGAGAAGAAAACACATGTACAATCAATTAATTATTGTCAATAAAAATTATAATTCTATTATATTCTAAATATTTTCTTAGTATTTCCCATTTAACCAACATATTATAATACTATATATGTGAAATATATGAAATAATTTTTAATTAATATAAAGCTCGCGNGTGCGCATAGAACATGTCTATCTGCAGTTTGTAAATAATTTGCACGCGCACGTAGATCATGTCTGTCTCTCGGCCTTTGGTGCAGCCGCGCCAAGTTTTTTAGCATTAAATATTTTTAGTTTTTAAAAATGTTTTGTATTATATAATTTTTAGTTTTTAAAAATTTGTTGTAGTATATAATATATATTGTTTTTTCAAAAAATAACGTAAAAGTTTACTTGGTGTTACTTTTTGATTTTGTTATCACTTCTTTTGTAAGGCAAGTTTTGTTTTAGAAATAATTCAAATAACGCGGCTCGATAAAACAAATTAAAAGAAAAACAATCAAAGAGTGTGTATGTGTATTATATTTGATTTGTAAGACGGTTATGCTTTGTTTTGTTTCTCTGTGTGTTGGCAAGTACTTTGATATTTCAATCCGGATTTTAATCTTACAGTTAAGAACCTCTGATTCGTAGACATCATACTTGATGTTTTGTATGTCTATATCATCTGTTATTTTGTCTCGTTGTGCTTGCCAGCGCGCGAGCGGTTTTTGTGATGACTTGTCGAGTTAGTGCTAAAGATGATCACCGATAAAATTTGATCAAAATGTCCGGAATACAGTGTTTTAAGTTGTTTTGATTGTCCATTTTCAACTTGGACTATAGGCTCTGTGGTTTTTTTCTTTAAGATAACTAAGATTGGCTGAATTTTCACAATTACATTCAAATGTTGACTCTGTGGAAGTACGGAGGTGTGGCAATGACACAAACTGCTAAAAACAGAAGTCGAGATAGTACAAATAATTAATAAAGAATTGTACACACGTTTCGCAAGACGAAGAAATATCGGCGGCTCATATATTTATCTATGAAGCAAATTTTATTCTGTTTTTCTGTTCGCATGAGAGTATTCAAATAAAACAACAGTAATAAAAAACGCGATGACGACTCATTTGTGCAATGATGACAGCCGAAATTATTAAAGTAACCAATGTAATAAGAAATATAATAAAAGAAATATAAAATAACCAATACTTAAAACAATTTATGAGCTTACAGCCAGGCAATACTATTCGAAGGTACATGAGTTTACAGAAAGATTATAAAATTTATATCATGTATATTTTTTTATTTAATAATATTACAAATTTAATAATATTACAGTAGTAACAAGTGTGTATTTATCAGCAAGGAATATTAAAATCGCGAAAACGTACGTTTATCATCAACTGCCGAGCGATAATTATTATAGACAATATTCTATTAATTATATAAATACAAGAGAGAAGTCTTATCACAAATAAAAGTCCTTGCCATAACAGTTTAACAACTAAATTGTCTCATTTCTAAAAAGGCACAAATGCTACATATAAATCCATAAACTCGAAAGTTTCGTCGGAAAATTTATAGCATATAACGCGTAAAGGAAGATGTTAAAAAAGTCCGATTTTTGGCCGCCTTTCGGAACCTTCGATAATATAAAAAAATTGTTATTTGGTCTTATATAAAAAGAAAAAAATAGTCTCACAATCCAGAAGAGAAAATAAAATTCTTCAGAGTTTTGTTAGGCTTTCTTTAGAAAATCGGATAGTCATATAGGGTGTTAACAGTTTTCATAAATTCGATATTTTTGAATGGTTTTTCTCATTAATATTTTATATTGAAAGACTCGAAAAGCTACTATCCATATATTATTTCGATCATAGAATGTAAAAATTGTATGTGGAAAATGACATCTATAATATGCAATTCTGATGTCCCATTTTAAGGGACTACTCCAAATGATTTCTACGTAAGCACATTTTTTTTTAATAAGTATTCGGAAGATTTTGTGGTCACTGATTACAAATTTGAAGTTATGCCGGACCTGAGATTTGAAAAGGTGTCTGAATTTTTCACATAAAATTTTCATATTCTATAATCGAAATAACATATAATCTATGGATAATAGCTTTTCGAGTAGTCTTTCTATGGATAGTAGTCTTTCAATATAAAATATTAATAAGAAAAACCATTTCAAAACATCAAATTTATGAAAACTGTTAGCATCCTATGTTGACTATTCGATTTTCTAAAGAAAGTCCAACAAAATCCTGAGGAATTTCATTTTTCCTGTACTTCTGGGATGGTAAGATTATTTTTTTCTTTTCATATAAGACCCAAATAATAATAATTTTTCTATATTACCAAAGGTTCCAAAAGGGGACCAAAAATAAAAATTTTTTAACATTCTCGTTTACCGACGAAATTTTTTAATGTGTCATAAATCTTTTATAAATTAAGAATAGGTTTCTAATGCAACGTATATTTTGTATAAAAGTGAATTCGGGAAGGTTACAAGAGAAACCACGAAATATATAAAAAATATCTTTTCATGTTTATTGTCAATAGACACTCTACACTACGAAAAATAAGTCGCGAGATGTATGATTGACTCGCGAGCATTTTTGTGGCAAAAGCGATTTTGCAGAGTAGCGACAATTTCTTTATATTCGATGCATTTCGACAAAAAAAAATAGTTTTTTCATAATTCACACTCATATTGATATATTTTAGAATACATATAAATATATAATTCCAAATTAGCATTAGAAATACTGCAATAAAACGACAATTTAACTTGTCATTTATTTTTAGAATTGCTCTAATCTTTGTTTTGATAATATTATGGAATATATAACATCAAATTTAAAAAATATTTTTTTTTACTTTACACGTTTATATTTGTGTAATTATTCTTGTACAATCATAAATATAATTTTGACATAATTAATTGAATTGTATATTATCAAAATAATTTTTTCTATGTTTTTATATTATAAATTCACATTATAAAATAAAATTATAACACATTTAGTATTCCATCATACTATCGTCGTGAATTTCTATAATTAAAGCTTTTTTTTCAAATTTTATCGCAGTTCATAGGACCACCTGACGAAACGTTTTACTTGAATATGTTTGTGCGTATAGTTGCGAGTAAATTTGCTGCGACGTTTTTTAAATAGGCACAATCGCCTTACAATTCTGGAGCTTCATGTATTTATGCAACATCGTTATTCATAATATAACGAATCTTAGAGATACATTTTACAAAGAATCAAACTTATTTCCAGCAATTTTAGCCATAAAGACGGCCGCGCGTAGTAGCTTTAACCACTTGCGGTGGAAAAACGTGCCACGCACGTCGAGATGCTTCAGTTACCGGAACGCCAGCGACGTGTTCCACACGTCGTCAGGCGATTGTTGCAGAAAGAAAAATGACGTGCGTGGCACGTCAACTGTGACGCATTTATTTATTAATAAATAAATTTAGTATTCATACATATGTAATTTTATCATCAGTTGATGCGCGTTCTGACACGCGCAACTGTGAATTTCTTTGCACCACAAGTGGTTAAGAATTATCACTGCCAACATCAACAAAATGATCGTACTAATTATTCTTACATCAGCGAAGAAATCGAAAAATTCAGTGTAAGAATTTAGAATTTGAAAATGTTTTTATAAATTCAAGTAGATATAAAGTTAACAGTCACACATCCGATTCGATTTTTACAGATGTCATTTTCTTAATCTCTTTTCGTATAATAACGATTCAGACTCGCAATGCCGAGTACGGGCCAAACATGAAAAAAACAAAAAAGAAAAAGAAGACTGTCATTTTGGCTCGTTTCGCGAAAAACTTCATTTTTTATTTTGGCTTGCGTTTTACCAAATTAATTCCGACGGGAAAAGATTAACTGTTTTTGTTAGATTTTTCAATAAGTTTCAAGTGCATGAATATATGTAAAGACAATTCGATTTGTAATTGTAAGTGTTTTTTCGCGTCGCTTTGCTTACGTGCTGCAAAATGACTATAATAATATATTATCATGCTGCATAAACCCAGCGGATGTTTTCTTCCTCTCTCTCTCTCTCTCTCTCTCTCTTTCTTTCTTTCTTTCTTTCTTTCTCTCTCTTTTTCTCTGTCTCTGTCTTTCTTTGAAAGGTAGGACACATGTATTTCGAGAAACGAGCAAACAAGCTTCAGTAGCTCGATCGACATATCCAGTTTCCCTCCGAAAGAAATGCATGTATCTACAGATCGACGTCCTCCTGCTTTGCTTTGGGAGCAATCTTCTCGCCACTCTCGGACTCTTTCACACTCATGTGAACGTCCGCAACTTCCACCGGTGGCGGCGGTGCCGGTTTCACTGAATTGTCGTCCTCGGCGATTTCGAAGCCGATCGTTGCGCCGATTTTCTGGCTCGCCTGCTTGAAAGAATCTGACAGCATGACCTGGTGACAAGCAAATTGATTAGCTTCAAAATTAATTTTAGTATAAATTCAAAATTAAAATATACAAGAGAAAACAAATAGTTTTATATAAATAGGTATGTATTTATTTTAAAAAAAGTTTGTGCTATATATACTCACCTGTACGACGTTGATGCACATGGACGTAAGCGCCAAGCCAAATACCAGATATACTATCGAACACATCATGTACATGGGATGCTAAATCAATCAATGAATCCGTTATGTTCTGTGCCTTACGGATCTCAATAGTGCGTTTTAAAATTCGTTAAGTAAACGATACAAAACAGTGTAAGAAAGAAAAAGCATATGAGAAAATAAAAAATATATTATTATATATAAATAAACAATTTATCGTTGGCAAACTTTTCATATGGACAAGAAGCTTACCATCTGAACGCCACCGTGAAAGAAAGAAAAACATGAAAACAAATTAATTATCTGTTATACAAAATGAGACCCGAGTTATTGAATTGCAAATGAAATTCAAGAAATGACGAGAATTGAAAAAGGGACCGCTATAAGAGCAAATTAATAAATAGCCTTTAGTCATTCGCGCGAAAACGTTGTCATTTCTATGTGAAACAAACGGCTTTTACTAGTTCCTACTAATATATAGCTTTATAAGATGTATAAGATTTGTACAAACTACAACTAAAATCTAAAAAAGAAGACGCTAGGGACTTTATATTTTATTCTACTTATTTATATAAATTTGCAAAAACATTTATGCGATGCATAGAACGTAACTCTACAAACATTTTCTCTATAATATTGGGTTGGTGGAAAAGTTCTGCGGATTTTTAGTATAAAATTTAAACACAAAATCGACATTTATAAAAATTAATTTAGTCCACAATGTGTTGACCGTCTTGATCTACAACTTGTTGCCAACGTTTCGGTAGGGCCTTGATGCCGCTCTTGTAAAACCCTTGGGACTTGTGGGCGAAAAAATCAACGAGGTGATTCGGATGGCCTCCATTGAGTCAAATTGATGACCGTCAACATTATTTTGCAGCGAACGAAACAAGTGATAATTAGACGGTGCAAGGTCCGGCAAATATGGTGGGTGCTGCATCATTTCCCAGCCAAAGCTCTGCTTTTTTTTTCGTGATCAAAGAAGTACGTGGTCGAGCGTTGTCATGATGGAAAATCACACCTTTTCTATTCGACAATTCTGGCCGCTTCTCTTGCACTACTTTGCGCAATTTGTCGAGCTGAGCTCAGTATTTCTTCGAATCTATTGTTTGGCCCTGCGGGAGCAGCTCGAACCACAGCACTCCTTTATAGTCTCACCAAATACATAGCATTACTTTCTGTGGATGCAAATTAGGTTTTGCCACCGTTTGTGAAGACTCGCCCTGACCGCACCACGACTTCCGCCGCTTAATGTTGTTGTAGACAACCCATTTCTCGTCTCCAGTGATGATCCGTTTCAGAAATGGGTCTAGAGAGGTTTGTTTCAGGAGAGATTGACACACTAAAATCCGATCCATGATGTTCTTTTCGCTCAGTTCGTGCGGCACTCATACATCAAGCGTTTTCACCATGCCAAGCTTTTTTAATCGATCCATAACGGTTATGATGAATGCCGAAGCGCTTCGCAATCTCTCGAGTCGTTAAGTGTCGATCACTCTTCACTGTAGCCAGGAGTTGGTCGTCGTCAACAGAATTTGGCCGTCCAGAGCGTGATGCATCTTGGAGGTTAAATTCTCCGGAACGGAAGCGAGCAAACCATCTTTCGCACGTGTCTACGCTTAAGGACGTTCTCCGACTACAGTGGTTAGCAACCTAAATACAGTGCTTAGCAACCTAAAATATCTCTTCTCATGAGTAAGTTTGTACTGCTGTAACAAAGTTAAGTTGAGCTATTCAGCACTGCTAAGACCCGCTTACTCTGCGCAGAAGTTCAAAAATAGCTGCAGTACACAGCGCACATAAATCCAGCAAAACAAAAAAAAACAAAAAAAAGCTACAGTTTGAAAACAAGGGTTGCTTGCCATATTATTCAAAATCTTATTTTAATTAAGACACTCTTCGCTACCACATACTCGGTTTTTTAAAAAATCCTATAAAAATTGTCGTCAGTAACTTTAAAAAACCCCACTTCACAAAGGTTCAGCATAGGAAATTCATGTTAAAAATTGAAACTTAAATCTTCCATATTTTGAAATTTAACATTGCTACCCCTTTTATCCAAAAAGGTTACGTATAAATAAGATCATAAACTATGTATATCGCAAATTTAAAGAAAATCCTAGGAAAATTAATAATTCGGAGAACGTCCCTAAGGCCGAGGCACCATACATGGTGCATATTTCGCGCTTAGCGTCCGCCGCTTTATATCCTTTACGGAATAAAAACAGCAAAATATGGCAAAAATGCAATTTTTGATCTTCCATTTTAGTTGTATGCTGTACACGCAAAACACGTCCGACCAAAACAAACACTTCTGCCAAATGTCAAGCGTAGTGTGACTTGTCAAAATATGTGCGGCAAACTGACATTTGAACAACACGCGATAATTATTTTCTGACACTAGTGTCATCTATTAAAAAATCCGCAGAACTTTTCCACCGACCCAATATTTCCAGTTTAATAATATAAATTTAATAAATAATCACCTGTGGTACGTAATCGCCGAAGCCAATAGTGCTCATAGAGATAAAGACAAAATAGAAACTCTCAAAGAAGCCCCAATCTTCCCACATGTGGTACAACGTAGCTCCGACGAAGATATAGGCCACAAGGATGACGATCGCCACCGAGATCGGCAGATTAAATTCGTCGTCGATGGCGAACGTCGACATCTCTGGCGTACCGGGTGTACCTGGCGCATTGGCGTCCAGATTCAGAATTGTTTGCTGCTGCTGCTGTTGCTGCTGCTGCGCCTGTTGCCTCTGTATCTCTTGAATCTCTTCTGAATTCATTTGCGAGGGCCTCCGGAAAGTTGCAAGATCGTAAACGAGTTGCACGCCCTTCATGACTTCCTGTGTATTGATATTAATAAATTAAGAAATAAATAAGTTTACGTTACAATTTTTATAGATTTTATTCTATATCATTTAAAACTATCAAATGAAATATACATAATAATATGTATTATAAAACTAAATCTTTAATTTTTGCAAAAAACCCAGAAACTCTCTTCATTAAATAACAAAGGTTTCTTGAGGTATTGTCTCACCTGAACAGGCGCAGTGCGGCGGACCTTGCGACAGCTACCTGTATAATACAGCCTTCTCACGAACGCCCACAGGAACTTTATACCGCGCGTGAATAATTTACCAAAGTCGGCCAGGATGATAAGAAACATTGGAATACCGAAAACGGCGTACACAATAGTAATGGCTCTTCCTGTGTTTGTGCTTGGCGAAATGTGTCCGTATCCTGAAACATTTTTTTCAAACATATATACATATATATATTTGCAACTACTGTGTATGTGTGTGTAATATATATTACATTGATATATATTATATTGATATCAATCTATTAATAAGTTTTTATCTTATTATAATATATGAACACTCTAATTGTTATTTTTATACTGCATTATCTGTACTGTATTTTCTACATAATTAAAAGATAGCTCACTACATAAAATGTAAAATTAAACGCAAAAATATGAAAAAAGGAGATCATAATAATCATGACGTATTTGCTGTTTATTTGCAGTCTGAATCGCGCAGCAAAAGCAGCGCGTTTATGCATCATACATTGCGAGAGTACGTTAAATCTAAGTTTAGATTATTCAGCAATATATATCGTTACGCGAGAACGCAGTGATTGTTTTCTCGCACCAAACACATCTTGTAACCCTCACATATACGAGAGAAATTATAAAAGAAACAATTAGCGCGTGCCATTGAACAATTTCGTCTGCACAATCGCAGTGCCCGGATTAACCTGTTTCTTGGCGAGATTTTATAATTGTTGAAAAAAATGTGAGCATTGTGAGCACTTGTGCACGCAATGTGAGTCGGCAAAACTTTTCAAGCTTTTTCTTGTTCACGATTCGAATCCATTACCTTTAACTGACGCTGTAAATAGCATCGATACACATGCACTCTTTTCGATTAAATTTCAGAGTTTAAAGTATAACATTTATAGAGAAATAAAAACTTTTTCTTTTACTTGATTTTAATATTTATTTATATAAAACTTAATAAATATTGGTTTTGTAATCAGCGCTTATTTCAACAACGCGTGCGCATTTCTTTTGACACACTGCGTGCGGACACAACATCAGAGAATTCAACTGCATTGTCAGAAAATCAATACGAGACCTACAAAACGTCAAACGGACCACGAAACTAATCCAAAACCCGTATCTACTTCTACTGCTCTTGTTGCTATTATGTTTTTATACACTAAATTAAATTTGCCGATATTATAACTTTTCAAGCTGTAATAGCAATCAATTGTAGATAGTTTCTAAAAACACCAACAATAGTCTCTTAGTCTCTTGTAATTTTTGATATAAAATTTCCTATCTATAAAAAGAAAAAACATCTTTTTAATAAGAAGAAAATATTTAAATAAATATTAAGTGTATAAATTTTTAATTTTCTAAATAAAAGTGCTATAAGATGGAATAAAAATGGCTTTTATAAATTGATATAAAATATGCGCAATATAATGTAGGAAACGTGATTCATTCTAAGAGTCAACTTTTTCTCAATCAAGTCTATCCGAACGTTCTTCGAGACATTATTCTCACCGATAGTAGTGATGACGGTGAGACAATACGCAACCGCGTTTAAAAAGCTCCAGCTCTTCTGGCCGCTGTAGCTGTGCAACCCGGCCTCGTGAGCGATATGAAGCTGTTCTTCGAACTCCATCAGCTTCCTGCGCGCCATGCTTTTCCAGTCGTCTTCTCTGAGATTGTGACTGTAATTCCACAAGCTGTCCAAGAAGTCCCTCTTGACGCGCTTTACGCCGCACTTGTAAAACGTTTCGAAAGCACCTTCGACAAAACGAAAAACAAACGCACCGAGGCCGCAATAAATAATCATTAGCAGCAATTCGGCGATGCAGCGATTACGCAGATGTCTGATAATCCTTGTTTCGCGCGGATTCTGAGCAACAAAAGCCCTGAACTCGCCAACGATGTCTTTAAACGCCTTGAAGAAATCCCACAAAGTGACCTTTTCCGGAGCTTGCCGCTTCTCCGCCGTTTTAATCAGTTCCGATTCAGCTTTCGAAGATGGTAGATTTGGCTCGTCTTCGATCTTCTTCTCTACAGCATCGTTAACTTCCGTTTTCATCCCTCGCCAGATAAACAACCAGGAAAACCACGATTTTTTCTTATCATCAGTCGTGTCGGAAAACTGAGCCACAGTTTGGACGACCTCTTTGGATTCGTCGTCGGTTTGCGCTGCGCTAAACTTCCTTCTTCTTAAATGATTAGTTTCTATCGCGTCCTGGAATACATCCTCAGGTTCCGGATCTAAAATATTACGTTCCCGTAACATATACTCTCTTTGAGCCCTTGCGAAGTCCTCAATTAGACTTTCGTTACTCAGCGGAATGATCTGTTTTTTCAGTTCGGTCGACGATCTCTTTATCGTTCGCTCCTCGACGGATTTCTGTGGGAAGGTCTCGCTCTTTCTCATGGCTTTCGGTTCTTCATCCGTGTCCTCCGTTTGAGTGTAAGGTCTCGAGCGCGGAGTTTTCTCAGAGTTATCCTTCACACGAGGTTCATCCTCCAGCTTCTGTCGACTCGATGACCTCTTCTCCCGATTCAATATTTCGGCATCCCTCTTCTGTGTTTCCGGATCGCCGATTCGACTTCTTCCGCTCGTCCTCTTCACTCTGGGCCTGATATCTTCGGGTGACTTCGTTCTCTTTCGATTCGTGGACTCATTCTTTTCATCCACGTCGCTGGAATCTGTCGATCGACTATATCTCTCAACGCGTTCCTTCGATTTTAATCGTTTAAATCGTTTCTCGATTTTACGAACTTCCGGTCTGCCGCTCTCGCCATTCGTGTCCTTCGGTGTTTCCGACGTGTCTTGGACTGTTGTCTGTCTGGGAATCCGAAGAACATCGGTTTTGACGACAATTTCCTCCCTCACGGTACCATCGTCGGACTTGCTCGTCGTTTCACCGGTGATCTGCTTTATCGGTTGCGTGTTGTTGTCGTCAGCTGTGACAGCCTCACGTGTCTTCGGACTATTTCCAGCCGTAGCTGACTTCGCGGCTACTTCAGCGCGTACAGCGATCATATCATCCATGTTCGAGGAACTTCTCGCGCTGATCCGCTCCTTCCTCTTTTCTCTGACAGGCAGTTCCGGTTCTTCTCTTTTCTTGTTTATGTTTTCTAGTTCCTTTGTGTCCGCTTCAATTTGCTGCTGTTGCGACAGCCTCTTTTCCTTCTGTTGCTGCTCTATCTTCTCCGCTTCTTCGACCATTTTCTCCATTCTCGCGCGTCTCTCTTCATCCTCGTCGTCCGTGATATCCATGCGGGACGTAGCACCCCTTGATACGGGATCGGGGGTTTTTTCGCGCTTCCTCGCGGCCGCTTTACGACGTCTGTGTACCGTGTAACTGTCCTCCATCGACTTCTCGGCGATAATCGTTCGAAAGATACTCTTCGCGTGTAACACGAAATTATCGCGACGGAAAACGCGCGGCTCGCGCGATACACTTGCGAGGCCGGTCTCGCCGAGACCGGGACAGAAATAAAACGGAGGCTGCTCCCACCACCTCCCGTTGGTACCGCGACGCGACGTTTGCTGCTACCAGCGGCGGCGACGGTAACGGCGGCGGAAACGGATGACCCCAGCTCTGCCGCAGCGGATATCGAACGATAACCAGCACCGCGCACAACCGAATACGCCGAATTGGCGTCGCGCCTGCAGCCACCGCAACCCTTTGTACGAACCCGTCCGGTGTTTACGCAGCATCGCAAAATCGGGGGCTACCGCCGCGCCGGAGTGGTCGATTATAAATCCGCAGGATTAACAATTGAGGATTGACACAGGCTGCGTCGCTTGTCCAAAGTAAACAATATATTGAAAGTGAAACTTTGTAACAAGTGAAGAAATAATTGTATAATATTTTCTATTAATCTAAGAGATAAAGCTAATTGACTATATTGTTAATAAAGAAAACCATTAATTATACGAGCAAATCCACCATAGTTTTAACTTTTGATGGACTCTTTAATACTGATAAGTCTGAGTTGTTTTTCATATGCACAAGACGTATTTTTTCCTCGTATACTTTTTAGTAATAACTATGTATTGTAATAATAATTATGTATGTAGAATACAGAGCGTTCGTGTTATTGCTGGCGCTTAAAAGTACACTGTCAGTCGATGAAAATATAGAAAAAATCATAAAATTGATTTCGTCCTTTTCGAATTTGTGTTTCACTCTTAATAACTTTGTACCTTCGCCGTAAACGGAAAAGTCAGTTCTTGCATTCATACATCTTTTCCTTCGAGGTCGATCATGTGCCATGTAACCGTAAAAAATGATGGCCGCTGAAAAACTTGTCCCATTTTTGCAAAATATTAATTTTCATAAAGTTAACAATATTTTACATACGCGCCGTTAAATTAATTGACTAACTGAGTTACTGAAGTTGTGGCAAACACAAAAACGAACAATTTAAGACGTTATTGAAAATTGTGCCTCAAAAATGAAACACACACCAATGTATCAAAGCGTATTGCCTTCAAAAGCGTAAATTTATTGAAAAATCCACAAATCATTTTGGCAAATATTTCGAGAAAACTTTTTTCAGTCATATCATAACTGTAAACAATTTCTCGTACCATAACTTATTACGAAATCCATGTGGTCACAATTTTCAAACCCAATTTTATTTTTAGTTTGACGTTAAGAGTGCGTAATTTAAACATGGTTGCAATGTAAAATTGGAAAGAAATATAAGTCAACCTCAATCAGGTAAACTTTGCGTTTACTTAAAACCACGCGTGTAAATTGGTGTTTTTGAACCTAATTCAGACATTTTCGTCAATATAAGATATATGTGCCGCACATTTGAAAAAAAAAAAAAAATAAATTTTTATAAAAGTTAAAACGACGGTGGATTTGTCCATGTAAATTACGCACACATTGCGTAGCTAATATAACGAGATTATAGATAATGACTGAATTTAAATGAAACAATTAACGAAATAAAGACGGTGGATGAGAATTACTATGATAGTGATTAAATCCCCAAAATGATTAAACTTTATCATAATAGAAATTTGTGAGAATAAAATAATAAAGCAAAACAAAAAAATGAAAAGATAAATTGATTGTAAACAATTAAATCGTTTCAAGAATAATTTTCTTCTAAAAGTTTTATTTAATTTCAAAATTTCACATTTCAAGAAAAAACCTAAATAAATCATATTTGAACAAAGCAGGATATTCTTACTTTTTTGCCCAATAAAAGAAAAATATAATGATATAAATACAAATAACATGACACATATAAATTCACGGTAAATGTTTACAATAGGGGAGACCCCTCCGATCGGCTTCTCGTTTTGATACATTGTAAATATGACCTTCCTGAGTACGTTTTTAAAAGTTTTATCCGTCGTTCATTGTTTATGAAAAAGTTATGACCAAAAAAATGTTTATCAATAAACTATCGTTTTTCGACACCGTGTACATTTCAGAAGGAAATGAGTAATGTTCATGTTGCCAACAATGTGTGTATATGTAGCATATCCCGAAACTTTCTGTTTTGTTTTCATTTCTTCGTTCGTATTCGTCCCGAATGTATAATTTTGATACTAGAATTGATTTTTGTACTAGATTGATTGACGATTTGTTTTCATTTCTTCGTTGTAAGCGTGTAGGCAGGGGGGGCTGCGCCCTCTCTGCACCCCCTCCAAAACCTAACCTAACTCTAACCTAAACTCATCTTTCTGCATTTCCCCTCGCAAAATTTCCACACTGGTTAGCCTATGTTACTACAATATCAATAGAAATGAGTAAAACTTGCGAAGGGGAATGTAGGAAGAAGAGTTTAGGTTAGGGTTAGGTTATAGGTTTTTTAGGGGGGTGCAGGGGGGCGCAGCCCCCCCTGCCTACATGTTTACAACACACAAAAAATGTACACGGTGGCGAAAAACGATAGTTTATTGATGAAACTTTTTTTGTTCATAACTTTTTTATAAACAATGAGCGACGGATAAAACTTTTAGAAACGTACTCAAGAAGGTCATATTAACAATGTATCAAAACGAGAAGCCGATCGAAGGGGTCTCCCCTATTGTAAACATTTACCAAATTCACATATCTACAGCATTGATAAACGATGCTGATATGAGAAAATTTGAAAATGTTTAATTCGAATTTATTTTGGCACCGCGTTGCGCGTCACGTGAGTTTAATAATTGACAGATACACTGATGATGTCGTTTGTCGTCTAAATGTTTGCGCACATAATCCCGATTAATTGCTAATTATGCATCATCATAAAGCGCATATTTGACTAACGATATCACAACGCCCGCGGCACGGATAAATAAACAATGTTTAATTTGGTGAAAACCAAATGAACATCAGAAATGTGCAGCCTAGAGAGAACATGCGAACGCAGAGGCGTCTTGTTTTCCTCTATCTCTGCTTGTCTCTTCTTTTCTGTTATATAATGATTCGAAAATAGTATGCGTAGGCAAAACAACGTCGTCATTTCAGGAAGCTACACGCGTAAACGCGCGCACAGTGTTTGAATAGCAAGCTTTGACAATCTCTCGTTGTGTGTGCAAATTTATTTTTACAAAGTGCAATCGGAGTTTGCGAAGCACTTTTTCGCGATTGCGAGCACTCCGACAAATTGTCAAGTTATTGTAAAAAATTCAAGATTATTGTTTTCACTTTTGATTCAATTGATTCTTTGCCATACTAAACAATGCTCGATAAAATTATCGTAATTTTTTCTTAAAGTTACTATTGAGAAAAACAAATTTTTATGACTTTTAATCGTTTTTTTAAAACACAGATACATTTTTCCGCGAGAAATATCAAAGAGACTACGAGAAATCAAAATGACTCCGCCGCGCATTCTGCTGCTCGCGAATAATTTTGTATACAAGTAAATGCGCGTTGTCACCGGGTATATAAATAGGAGATATATTTGTACAAGCGTGTGTGAACGACCACGAAGAAACCGACATTTTTAGATAATCTGTGTCATAAGGTTTCCCCGACGCGAGGAAATAATGTAGCTCGTTATTTTGGAACTTCCACGCGCGATCATCCGAGATTATACACTAAATCTGTCATTCTTTTCTGAGAAATCCACTTTCAAATACATCACCGCACACAAAAATTAGATAAACTTATAAAACGTGAATAATCATCTATTATAATACAGATAACACAAACATATAAGAGAACAAATATGAAACAAAAAGTCTTTCCACACATTAAAAGAAAAAAAATAATTTTAGTGCATTTTTATTTTACTTTTTTTTCTGTTTCCTGCAGTACTTCTCGTTTTCGCGATAGAGCAAAATAACATACAAGTCAGTTTCGGTGCGCGGAAATATATCATGGAAGATTTAGATGCTAACACAGGCAAAGCGGCAACGTGTAAGCGAATAAACCATTAGTGTCCGACCGAAGGTTCGGTTTTGGTTTCGGTTTCGGCCAGTTTCGGCGCAAAATTGGAGTTTCGTTTTAGTTTCGGTTTTGGCAGCGAACCGGCCGAAACTACTACCAAAACCGAAACTTTGTTCGTGTTCGTGAGTTGTCGACTTGTCGCGCTAAATAATAACCAAAGGTTAGATAGAAGTTATTTCGTTTTATAGATAAAAGAAAAAGTTTGTTTTTGTTTACTTAATCTTGTTAAGTACAAAGTTTTTTTTTAACTATCTTTTGTTGGCAACTTCATAATTATTATTATGATAATGCGTAATTATATGCCTTTGAATTAATAATAGGTACTTGACATGTTGATATTTTTTGTTACAAACTCAAGTTTTAATTTATTTTTATAACTAAAACTTTGACTGTCAAAGAGACTGTAATAATAATTGTGTGATATTAGTACAGTACTGATATTGATAATAAAAACTGCATTAATCAATGATTTTCTTTCTGTATGAATTACACACCTCACCTCACATACAGAAGAACGTTTGTGGTACTTTTTTTTGTTGATTGTCTAAGAGCAATAAAGCTATTTGTTTATCGAATAAGGGCTTTTTTAAACACATACGCACCTGCAGCTAGCTAAACTTNACAGAAACAGGCTCAAACTAAAAAACTGTAATAAGGAATTACTATAAAAAGAAGTTTCGGTTTCGATTTCGGTTTCGGCCGAAACTNAGACAGAAACCGAAATTCGGTTTCGGTTTCGGTTGTAAAAACTAGTTTCGGTCGGACACTACTGCTTACATATTTCGCCAATGTATATGTCAATTTTTACACAAATACAAAAATTGCAGATTTTATGTATCAGTGCAGCTAAGTTACATGGTCATGTATTGAACAAGTGTCTCGTATAAATATGTTTTATTTTGACATGTTTCAAAAATATGTGTAAAATATATGTGTATAAAGTTTAACACCATTATAAACATAATTTAAAAAGATAAATAGATAAAAATGATATATATAATATAATTTTCAACTATAAATGAACTGTTCGATCCGAGTGCGGGATAATGTGCAAGAAATTATTACAAGTTGATTATTCTCCAAACGTTTTGACTTTTATT